CAGTTTTGGTATTACGTACGCCTTTTATGAGCATGACGATAGCAACCAGCGAGCATTTACAACAGTCATTTTGCGATCAGTGTGACCATTTGTGGCAGATTTCTGCCATTTCGGCAGATTTGGCACCTGAATTTGAATTCTGGCAGACTAAGCTGACGATTCAAAAAAGTGGCAGATTTTTGCAGATTTGAAGAAAATCTTTATTATTTCTAGAATACATTTTTGTATATTTGTATTTGAAATACTTATAATTTTCGAAGTCTTATTTTATTATTTAATTTATTTCTAATATGCATTTATTTGGTAGGAAATTATTTACCTAGGTGGCAACATTTGTCCAGAGAGTATGGGGTTTTCCCGTTTATGCTAGTTTTATGGTACGTCATATGATTATAAACGGTAACGAATCAGAAATAAGGTTTATTTTCTTATTAAAATAACTGATCGAGTTTCAAATCAATGTTTGGTGTCTTGTCTATCTGATAATCTGATCTGCCAACTTATTCTCGTTTGGCATTTAATGTGTGCACTTGTGTCTTTATGATGAAGAGAAAATACGAGCGTTCTTACCGACCTGAGTGGGAGCAAGATCCTTTGCTTTCGTCCTGGCTTTCAAGAGCTGAGGAGGATCTTGATATTGCATTTTGTAAAGCTTGCAATTGTAAATTAGTTACAAGATTGTCTTCACTAATAGAACATGTGTCATCGCAAAAACATAAGAAGCATATGATTGGGTATAGCGGCCAATCATCGGTAAGTATTTTACAATAAATGTAAACATGTTTTTATAATGGCGAAATAATATGTGATAGAATTATTAAGCGTCTACTTTATCACCATTACAGATATCAATAAAATAATTTATTTTAAGTTATCTAATCAAGCTTATGGCCTATCGATGTCTGGAAAAGATCATCTTACCAAATTTAAAACTAAATTAACTAGTTTTTGTGGCAAATTGTTGATGGAATTATCAAGCATCTACTTATGTCACAATTACAGATATCAATAAAATAATTTACTATGTATTATCTAATGAAGCTTATGGCCTATCGAATTCTGGAAAAAAATCATCATACACAATTCAAATCTTAATTGACTAGTTGTTTTAGTTGTCACGATTCGTCAGTCAAGACAGGCAAAGGTCTTATACCATACAGCCGAGTTTGACGTATATTTTATTCAGAAAACTCTTATATATATATATATATATATATATATATATATATATATATATATATATATATTTAAGTGCGTTCTTTAAGGATACATATATTAGAATGAAAAAGAAAAAAGATTCATTACATTTAGATGCATCAGAAAGTAATAAAATTTTCATAAGAACAATTTTCAAAAAAATAATTTGTAATAGTTAAATGTTAATGAAGTTAATTATCTGGTATTTTTCAGTTCATTAGTAGTGTTGTAAACATATATGAAAATTATATTGACTAGTTGTTGCTATAACGATTCGCTAATAAAGCGTTTTATACCATACAGCCTAGTCTGATGTGTATTTTGTTTAAACTGGAATAACTTTAATTCCTGAATTCCTGCAGTAGTATAACCGAAGAAATTTTTTTAATGATTTTAAATTCTATATTTATAAATGTTTTGCATTTGTAGAAAGAAGAAAAAAAAGTCACATAAAATTTGTTTGGGAGTTCACCATTGTCCTTTAGATACATTTTTTTATATTATGTCAGGTGCAACAGTTTTTTAAGAGCTCTACCTTAGATGAGGAAGTCAAAAAAGCAGAACTTAATTTTTGTGCTATGCTAGTGGAACAATTTACCGTTTCGATTAATGGATGATTTCAGCGAAATTACCTCAAAATGCTTTCACGATTCTGAAATTGCCAAGTCATTTTTCTGCAAGAGAACTAAAGCAGCAGCGGTAACGTATAACGTTTTAAAGCCAGATCTAGAAGCAGAGATGCTTGCCGATTTGAAATCGTGTCAAAACGTAAAAAATCGTACACCAATATTTTCCTTGGTCATAGATGAGACCACAGATGTTACAACCACATCAACGCTTGCTGTTGTTATAGTTCATTTCAAATAGGATGGCAGGATTCCACTTGAGACTTAGCAATTACAGCTGTAATGTTAATCTATTGTTGTGTGATTATTTTATTGCTTTAACACTTGAAGTTAAGCATCTGTTGATAATACTGAACCAGTATAGCTGGAATGACGAATTTTGGTACTTGAACATTAAAACAAATTAAATTGTAGATAATAAACCTTTATTACTTTTAACTTAACTATTTTAAATACTTATAACAACTTGTTAATATTTTGTTTAATCAATCACTCTGAAGAACATTCATCGGTATCTGTGTCCTCACACGTATTTATTATAAATGGTTGTATCCGATCCCTCGAAAATTCGTTTTCCACTCTTATGACATGGTCACAAACATTCTTCCAAAAAATGGGATTTGTAGAATTTATTACGTTTCGTACACTTTGGATTACATTTTCCCCTATTGTAGGCGTAACGTTTGACTTACGGACAGTTTTTTTTATTTGACTCCACATTAACTCAATTGGGTTCAATATACTATAATAAAATAATATATAATATAATAATAATAAAATAAAATGTAATAACGAAGTTACAAGACGACTGAATTTTTGACAACAATGTCATCGTGTATTTAACAAAAGCATCAAAACTTGTTTGCTGCCACAAAAATACCACGTCAGGGCAAGGTCTTCCCAGGTATCGGTTGTAAATACCACTTCTTTTGTTATCGCTTAATGACCGCTTCAAGTACAATCCTGCCATGCTATTTATACCAAATATTATTCCGAAAAGATCTTCAGGTAAAAACAAAATTTTTAACTTTGGTGGATTTGAATGGAGCATCAGTCCAAGCATTGTTCGATGCACTTTCCGATGCTTTAACTAATGCTCACCATAATGTTAAAGATGTAATTGGTTTCGGGGCTGACACTACTAGCGTTATGTTTGGCGAACAAGGTGGCGTTATTGCCAAAATAAGACATGTCAATCCCCATTGCATATTCATTAAGTGTGTATGTCATTCTACTGCTTTGTGTGTATCTCACCCCAATAAAAACTCTATACCAAGGGCTATTAACCAAATAGTGCAAGAGGTTTATGGATATTTTGCACATAGTAGTAAAAAGCAAAGAGAATTTGCTGAATTCCAAGATTTTATTGGCACTGAAAAGCATAAAATATTAAAACGTTACGAAATTCGCTGGCTATTTTTCAGTCCCAGTTTCTGGATGACAAAAATATTTCAGCTGAATTCTTATGTAATAGTTTGAATGACAAGGTATATAAACTTTATTTTTATTCTTTGGATTATATACTGCAAATAGTTAACAAACTGAATACAATGTTTTAAGGAGATTATACAACAGTCCACATAGCATTCAAAGACATTTCTGATGTGTATGCGGGCCTTTTAAGTTGTTATATGAAAGGAAATTATTTAAAAACCACAGATCCGCTTTGTATAGATCCAAAATCTAATGTGAACTTTTTACCTCTAAAGGAATTGTACTTAGGTATGAACGTTAGTAAAGAAATTGATCGTCTATCTGCAGATGTAAGTTCAAAACCTGGAATTCAATCTTTCCTTCAAATAATGCAAACATTTTTAATTGAACTCTGTAATCAGTTAAAAAATCTGCCACTGAGCAATGTTTCTACTTACAATTTCTAGACCCACAAAATGTTGTTTACAAAGATTTTGTATCAACAGTAAACATTGCAAGTAAATTTCCCAATATAGTAGATGAAAATGGTCTTCAAAAAGTTGACGACGAATTTCGTCAAATGAAATTCGACAAAAATGTAAGCGATTTGTTGGAATCTGGTGGGAGTGGCACCAGTACAATTATAAGTGTGGACAAATTCTGGGGAGCTATTGGGAAAATGCGTGATGCAAACGGAGCTCCGAAATATCCAAATATTGCAAACTTTACAATGGTCTCTTATGTTTTCCAATGTCAAGTGCCTCTTGCGCGAGAATATTCCCGCAAGTAAACTTGAATAAAAAAATAATAAGGAACAGGTTTCTAAACAAACAGGTATCCGCTTTAATCACAGCAAAAGAAGGTGTAAAAGAACACGGAGACTGTATCTCCTTTAAACCAACAAAAGAAATGATTAAAAAGATGTTGAAATCAGTATATAACGAAAATGAACAAAATGAAGAGTATGAAGCAAATGTTGACAAATAGTAGTAGTAGTATCGTATAGTATAGTAAGAATAATAGTGTTGTAAAGTACTTAAATGAAATAAAAATGTGAAGTATTATAGAATAAAGAAGCTCCTTTGAATACATTGTATTTTATTTATTCCTACCCGTCTCCATCTCCATGCAATAATATGATGGCATATTTTTGGCATTTTCTGGAGTCGGTTTGGGAAATTTTGGCAGATTTTTTTCAAGTTTGTGACAGATTTGCCATTTTTGAGATGGTCACACTGTTTGCGATAACATTATAGAGTTAGGTGAAGTTTTTATCGATTGCTCGTCGCATTTGTCTTATTATTCAAATAATATAATAACGCGTATTATTAACAGTGTGTTTATTTTTACTAAGTTTGTTGACATCACAGCATCTTAGTATTAAAATCATTAAAATAGTGCTTGCTTGGATTATAGAAGTGTTTGTCTAGTGTTTGTATAGATTGTTATTTCCTTGATTTCGATATGGCTCGTGCAATTCTTTTGATTGAAGCACTAGAAGTTGAGGACAGAAGATATCAAAGCCGTACCACAGCACGATTGAGACGAAGTCTCAGAGATCAAGCTAAAGCTTTGGAACTCTCTGACTGAGTTTAAAGCCCACTACAGACTTTCCAAAGAGCTCTTTCAGGATTTGTGCACCGAGTTAAAGTCATGGTCACATGGTCGCGTCAAGAAGAAAAACAAAAGTTAACGTGGAATGCAAGGTACGAAAAGAATATTATGTTGGCACACTGACTATAAACAAAAAATTTGAATGTTATAATGGTTATTATTAGATTTGATAATATTCTCATTGATTTACAGGTACTTACAGCACCCTCATTCTACGCTACAGGTTCTTATCAAAAGCCTGTGGGCATGAGCTATTTGCATGGGCTTTGTCAAGCTAGTGTATCAAATGCTGTTAAAGAAGTGACAATGGCTTTAAACAAATATAATAACGCTAAAAAATACATACATTTCCCTGGAACACGACAAGAAAGACAGGCTATTTTATAAATGGGTAAGAATTACTAAGCATTACGAAAGTGAATTGAATGCTGAAGCGAAAATAATTGCATTCTTCATTTAATTTGTTTTAGAATTTCAAATAAATATGGTTTTCCTGGTTGCTTGGGGTGTATTGATAGCACTCATCTAGCTATGATCAAACCCACAGAACATGAGTAAAGATTTTTTAATAGAAAACATTACCATTCCAGGAATGTTCAAATAGTAAGTAAAACTATTCTGAATTAATAGTATTTGGTGGAGCGACGAGCCTAAGGTTACCGAAAGTCTAATTCCCCGGTCGAACCTTAAACCTATTACGCGAGATATTAATCAAAGTGGACTGTATCTGCGAAATGCTTCTACGCTTATATAATGGCGACTATAGCACGCGGTACAATGCACTCGCTCTTCCCTAAAAAACCAACTATTATTTGCCAAATCTATGAAAGGAATCCTGCTTGATTAGGAGAAAATAAAATTGGAGCGGATTAACTATTAAACACAATTATATCAAGCAGGAAATATTTGGAATGTTCACTCACCGGGGTGTTTCTTCTATGCTGCTTGGGCACTATATTGCTGCGACTTCTGGAACTTCTTCTGGGTAGACTCTCTGGAGAGAGGCGGTGCGCGACTATATCTCACACGAGGTGAGGCGGGTTTCCTGGAGCTCGATCGCTTCCAGGCTAAAGCGGTTCTACTAGCGGTGCGGTTCCAACGACGAGCGCGGCAGGAAGAGAGCGCGCGTCGGTCGCGCGTGCCTTTTATTCCTTCGGTTGCGATGATTACGTGATATTCTAGAATCATCTTCTTTCCCCTCCCACCCCACCACCCCGATGTGTCGATAGGAGGGTATGAATGATATCGTTTGGAAAGGGATAAACGATTTGGCAAGCCCAACCGTCTAAAAAATAAATACGAATGGTTTTCCGCGCAACCAGTATTTAATATTTATAATTGGGTAATCTAAATTTCTTTGCAACTTTCCGCTAAACATATAAAATGATGTGTCTTACCTGGATTGAAGCGCACCTCCCGCCCTCCCTCAATTGCATACACTAACTCCGTCACCACTAGACCAAGCACCACTACTCTCAACACCACTATTCCAGGCAAGACACACCATCGACGATAATACGACACGTGTTTCGCCTCTACACGAGGCATCCTCAGTTAATATAGACTCTACGGTGGCTGACCGCTAAGTGAGCGGCGAGTCGAAACAGTTGCTATTTATACACGCTGACACAATCGCTCCCTACCAAAGTAGCGAGTGACCGTGTCGTGCGATAACAAACCTGCCAACAGTTATTATTATTGTTATGATTAAAAATACGTTTTGAGTGGCCGCGCCGTGCGATAACAAATCTGCTACTAATTATTATTATTGTTATGATTAATATTTTAAATACTATTATTATTATTATTGTTTTATTGATATTATTATAATTATTTATTATTATTAATCTTAAAATTATTATTAAAGATTGGCCTTAAAGATGTTTAACAAAGGTGAATTAGAAACATTTGTTTGTTCATTCAGCAGTGTATAATTACCATTATTACTTTTTAAAATCTCCAACTGCTCCAGCACACACAGTCGCAGCCCCTTATTACAGGTATGTAAGACTTCAAAGGAATGATCGCTAGCTAGGTTGTGTCCAGTGTCCAAGAGATGTTTAGCAAAATGGGATTTGTCAGGATTGCAATTTTTGTACGCGGCCCTATGTTCTTTATAGCGCGTCCCGAAATTGCGACCAGTCTGACCCACGTAAACGGCGTGGCATTCGTCACTAACAAGTTTATAAACACCCGATTTTTGACTAATATTTAACTTATCTTTATTATTACAAATATTCCTAAGCGAATTGTTTGTTTTGAATGCCACGTTAACGCCGTTTTTCTTAAGACTATTAGCTATTTTTTCCGATATGGGGCCTAAGTAGGTCAAACTACCCACATACCGCCGGACACTTTGAGATCGAACCGCGTACAAAGAATTGCGAACAACCTGCTTTTGTTTCTTTTTAATAAGATTATCAACGAGACTTTTTGAAAAACCGTTAGAGACCGCAATTTGATAAATTATATTAAGATCTTTTAAATAATTTTCTTTATTTAATGGAACAGTGGACAGACGGTTAATGTAACAATAAAAAGCGGCTAATTTATGTTGCCATGGATGACACGATGATGCGGGGATGACCGTGTCGGTATGAGTTGGCTTTCGATAAATTTGAAAAACATGTAACGACTCTTTTCTTGTTATTGTTAAATCAAGGAAATTAAGAGAGTCATCTTGTTCCAATTCAAGCTTAAATTTAATTTTTTCGTGGACTCTATTTATTTTATTAAGGAAAACATCCAGTTGTCTCCTTGTGCCTGTCCAGCAGATAATTATGTCGTCTACATATCAATAATAGTATAAGATATTTTGGTTAACAACTATATGTTGTTTTTCGAAATCATCCATGAAAATGTCCGCCATAAGTGGACTTAGAGGGGACCCCATAGCTAACCCTTCTTTTTGTAGATAGAAACGGTTATTAAACCGGAAATAATTTTGTTTTGAAAAATTAGATCATTTGAAAAATAACCTTAAAACTCCGTTGCGTAACAACAGACCTGGCCCAGATTGTCAATTAAAAAACCTCAACCTCTTGAACATACTCGAAAAAAAATGACAGACCCATTTATTATTATATATATATATATATATAATAATAAATGGGTCTTAATATATATTTATTATTATATTATTATATAAACCCCCCTCAGAAATGAGGGGAGGCCTGTACCCAGCAGTGGGACGTATATAGGCTGTAACTTTACTTTACTTTACTTTTTTATTATTCATGAGTATTTTCAGCTACTAGGAAATACAATAGCCGGTCTCAATTTGTTTGACCGTCCCGATTTAACTTGGAACTTGGACGAGACCTCTCTGTGTCTAGATCCTTCAAAGACGAAAGTAGTAGGTGCGGTTACAACCCTTGTTCAAGAGCAACATTTGGCAGTGGCAAATAAAATATTACTGTTTTAGCGGCCGCAAATGCCGCTGGCCAAAAAATAGCAGCCTTAATAGTATTTAAGGGGCAATATGTATGTAAACAGTGGACGGCTGATAAAAAAGATTATGAATTTGAGTTGACCTACGCAGCAAGCAGCAAAGGTTGGATGGAGGGTACGATATTTGTGAATTACTTGAAAAAAGCATTGTTTCCGGCTCTCGGCAAAGAACGCCCCGTATTGATTATTTACTATGGCCATTCATCTCATGTGACTGTAGATGTCGTACAACTGGCTATCCGACATGGAATCACAATCATAAAATTACCACCTCACACCCCCCACTTATTACAACCATTGAATGTGGCGGTCTTTAGATCATTTAAGTGTAAGTGGGATGCTAAATCAGTTATATGGCAGCGCCATAATGTCGGACTTAAAATGCCTAAAAATGTTTTTCTCAAGCGTTTGCGGGACACGTGGCAAGAAACAAATGCCGAGATAATAAACAGCGGCTTCAAAAAAAACTGGAATCTATCCGTTCAACCCTGATGTATTACCACAGGATATATTTGAACCAGCTGCCTACAAACGATTTAAAGAAAAGCTAATGAAATGCTAAAAAATGAAAAACAAATGCTCTCAAAAATCCGAAACCCCTGCAAAATTTATGTATTGACGTTTTTAATAAAATTTTGCAGTTACACACACGAATACTCCAAATGTCACCTTCTTATCAGACCTTTCAAGAAAAGATAATCAGACGCAGTCTTTTTTGGCAAATAATATTTCCAGTTTACCAGATTGTCTAAAATGTAAGTAAAATGTACAGCCTGAGCCAAAAATTAAAATTTTATTCAATGTAAAGGTCAATTTTGAAGAATTGCTGCTCAACAAAATAAAACAGGATAAGAAGGACATTAATTATCAAACAAAGAAAACACGTGTTGCTAAAGGAGCTGAAATAATAACTTGTAAACAATTAGAAGACTTGGAAAAGCAAAGTAACGAAACAGCGTCAAAGAAAGCTAAGCCGAAAAAAAGGAAGTCAATAAAAGATATAAATTTCGCAGATGCGGGACCTTCAGGTATAAAAAAAGGGAGTAAACAGAAAAAAACAGGGTAAGAAAAAACATAAAAAGGAAATAGATTCGAATGAATCTTCGTCTGATATTTCTGATTTGATAAGCCTCTACCGTGACGACATAGACATTGATCAATATTATAACGATGAAACACTCAGAGAAGAAAATTGGCCAGAGGATTTAAATTTTGAGATGGAGAATTTAAACTCTTTGGAAAAATATGAGAATAAAGAAATTTCAAATGAAGTTAAAGAATGCGAAAATGGAAATCCTCATACCAAAACTAAAAATAAAAGTGTGGGTAAAAAGAGTAAAGCAAAAGAAAATAACCAAGGCTCAAAAGAAACTAATAAGACTGATGATGACTCTAGTGTAGTAGGTAATATTAACAAAAATTTAACAAATACCACAGAAATTGAAACACTACAAGAAAATTACTGCATAAATGATTCCGTGTTAGTCAGATATTACGTTAGAAAGACATGGAAATACTATATTGGATTTATAAAAGGAATAAAAAAAAGACGAAAATAGATTATATTGTATCGCTTATTTAAAAACTATGAAAGTACCCCAACTTTGTTTCAGAGAAACAAAAAACTTAGATTATGATGAAATTACAAATATATCTATAGTGAAGAAAATAAATTGGCAAAGAATGAATGATAAAATTTATAGCTTGGTTAAAGAGAGCGATAACATATATTTTTAAGTTAATTATGTTAAATAGTTTTCTTAATTCTGTAGTGTAGCATAGGAGAGCGAAGGAACAAAAACCCTTGTAACCATTTTTAAGCACAGAGTTACGTTATGTTTTCATATTCTGGGTTTAGGAAATGAAGTGTTAATATACTTACCTAAAATGGTCTGATGTGTTACCTACTAAGTTTAATGAATAACTTTATGAATAATAAACTTAATAGGTAACGCATCAGACCATTTTAAGTATATCAACGCCTCATTTCCCAAACCCAGATATATGAACCCAGATGTATATCTTTTGAGAATTTGGTATTTTCTATTTCCTAAGTTGTATTTTTTTTTTTTGCAATTGTTTAAGAATATTTTCTTTGTCCTTTTTGGTAGTTAAAAGTATTGATGTGAATGTGAAATATGATGTGTTTAATGTAAAGTTGTTTTTTATTACCTTTTGCTTTAGGTACCAGTTTTATTTCATGTAATGTCTTTACTGTTTGTTATGCACAATTTCAAAAATTTATTATTTGTCTTTTGTATTTTCAAAATAACAATTGCAAGACTGATTACGATAAGATAGTCCATGAAAATGACGGGATCTAATGTTACGGTTCAAACTTAAAAATAACTAGATAATTATTACCTACTTGATTAGCAGCTAGTTTATGACAACTGATGTGATCTCGTACTAAGTTAAAACACTTCCTTTTTAAAAATAATTTAAAATTAGGTACCAATTCGGGTTGGTATTAAAAAAAAGGTTGTGATTACTTAAAAAAAATCAAAGAATTGCTTATTAATTTAAACTACTTAATTATGAACAATTTCGAAGTATGTCTTTCTATAACTTCGTATTTTCAATTTTCTAAGTTGTTTTTTTTTTTGCATATGTTTAAGAATATTTCTTAGTCCTTGTTTGTACTTATAAGTATTAATGTGAGCAGATGTTTAATGATAAGTCGTTTTTTTACCTTTTGCTATAGGTACCAGTTTTATTTCATGTTTTCTTAACTGTTTATGATGTACAATTATATAAATTTATTATACGCCTTTTGTACTTTCAAAATGTCAATCTCAAGGCTGATTAAGATAAGATAGCCCATGAAAATAATTGATATGATCTAATAATAAGTGAAGATGCATACTTAAAAATAATTGATATATCTTGATTAGCAGCTAATTTACGACAACAAGGAGCCGTGGTAGCTCAGATGGTTAACGCTCGCTGTAAATATAATAGAACTTGAGTAACCCGGGTTCGATCCCCGCCGGCACCAATGAAATATTTAATTGCAATTTTAAGCGCTGATTTACCACGCGCTCGGCGGTGAAGGAAAACATCGTGAGGAAACCTGCATGTCTGAGGAATAAGAAAAAAATATTTCGAAGACATGTGAAGTTCGCCAATACGCATTGGGGCAGCGCGGCGGACACTTCCTTGCCCTTAAACCCTCTCAGAAATGAGGGGAGGCCTGTGCTCAGCAGTGGGACGTATATAGGCTGTAACTTTACTTTTACTTTTTTTTACGACAACAACTCATCTGTGATCTCATACTAAATCATAAATAAACTGATTCAAATATTTTTATTGTTTTGTTTTCCCTGCCTACTGATAATGTAAAAAAATGTTGAGAAACACTGACTTGCCATGGGGTAATTTCGAAAAAAATTCTTAAAAAATATGTAACAAAAGTTTTGTGGCCATTAGGAAAGAAAAAAAACTTTGGGGAAATTTAGAATCAAAAAAGAATATGTACCTTAAAGCCATACTGCACAAAGACCATTTTTGACTTTTATTCGAAATTGCCCCACAGTATTTCGAAATTACACTTGAGGATCAAAAAATCTAACTAATAATAAAAATTAAATTTTGATGTCTAGCAACTATGTTAGAATACTTTTGAAATGAGCTTTTCTTCACAAAATATATAAACTACATAAAACTTGTGCTTGTTTCAGGTAAAAATGTACAGATTCTGACTTTTGATAGAAAACACAAATGGTCTATTAACTTCATATAAATCCTTTCGAAGTTACCCTAAAGCACTCTACTTCCAGTTCTCACTACCAACTACCAGGCTTCTCCAGACTCTCGTAAGAAGTCTCGCGAGAAGACTCGCCGAGATTTCTCGCCAAAAAACAAGTGTTTGTTCACACTCACGATGTTTCTCACTTACTGTTCTCCTCGCTACCGTATGGACGATTTTGATAGTGCAGCTGCTTTAGTTTTGTGTGCATTTGCATACTATAATCTTGTTAATATCAAAATCAGAAAACAAATTAGAAAAAAAAGAAGGTGCAGGCGATGGTGAATGACGGGAATTCATCGAAATAGAACAAAGTTTGCAGATCTTCTTTTTTTAATTGATGTAATTATAATGTGTAAGAAAAGTCGATGTTTTAATTCTGAATACTTACTGTTGCAGCTTTACTATGCAAAAACACCTGAAAACACCATTCAAAAAGTTTACTAGAATGAACAACAGTTGATTTTGAATATTTGCTTAACATGATTTCTCCATTAATAAGTAAACAAAATACACAACTGCGACAAGCTTTACCAGCTAAAATGCGTTTAGCAATAAGACGACCATTACATTACCCAATTTGCAGAGCGCTAGGTGAGTTAGCGTGCTAAATTTGTATTGTGCAAAGGCAGTTAGACAGCTAGTGATCCAATCTAGTGCGATTGCATGGACTCTGCCGCGCTAGCTTATATCGTACACTAGCTAGCGCACTAAATTGCATGGTGTAAGGTGTTCTAGTGTGCTAAACACTAGCTCGGCCAGTCAGTCAATCAGTCGGCTTGCGCTCGGACAGGACGTATGTTTATGTTATAAGATCAAAATGACGCAACCATCGACTAAAGAAAGGGAAGTGCTCTTGAATATAATAGAATTATACAAAGACATGCCATATCTTTGGGATAAAAAACATAAGGACTATAAAAACAAATATATAAGAAATGATGGAAACAAAGTGCTTCTTGAAGTTTACAAAGGATTCGATAGCAACGTGACAGTGAAAAATTTAGTAAAAAAAATTCAAAATTTAAGAACCGGTTACTTTAAGGAATTAAAAAAGGTATGAACCAACCAATTCATTATTATACCAACTAAACATTTTTGTCTTATGATTTCGCGATTGTCACAATCGTAATAACTTTATAGGGTTTTAAAAAATCGTTTTTTATTTAGTACTAGCCTTTAGCCCGTGATTTCGTCCACGTGGATTACGCATTTGTGACAGTTTTTTGATTATCCCGTCTTTACTTTCTTCTGGAATAAATTGTTATAAACGTTGACAGTAGAATAGACAGATTCGGTTTTTTACGATTTTTTCTATATATTTAGTGTTTATTATTTAATATGGAACGGTTTATATATTTATGTTTTAGGTAAAAGAATCGAGTCGCACTGAAGCTGGAGCTGACCAGGTGTATGTACCTACACTTTGGTACCAATGCTTTGAGTTTTCTTGGGTCGGTTAGTAAGCCTTGTCGTGTAGGCCGAGACACAATGGAAACACAGGTATGTTAATAATATGTTTATTTAATAATCAAAAATATATTATTTTGTTGCTACGAAATCATTTTGTCCTGGAAAGAAACACTACCTTCTTCTGAGTTAAAATAGTCCACAAACTTGTTTCGAACTGCAACCCGTCAGCATTAAGCTGGGTTTCATTCACACGCTTTGATAATACCAGGCCGTCGGGTATCTGTTGTCTCCTTGATGGAATGTATATGTTTTTGTATTTTCTCGATCAACAGAATTTGTAGTAATATATCGTGGTGCTTTTCTCCGTAAAAAATTGTGCAAAACACAACATGCGAGTATAATATAATCCACTCTATCTATTTTAACACTCAGATTTCTTCGTAAAACTCGGAAGCGGGCGGCTAATATACCGAATGCATTCTCCACTACTCTTCTAGCCTTAGATAAGCGGTAGTTGAATATTATTTTTTCATGTGTTATGTCTTTGAAAGGAAATGGTTTCATTACGTTTCTTTCGATACCAAAAGCACTGTCACCCAAAAATACGTATGGTACAGTAACTTGTGTGTTCGGTAATGTGCAAGCTGAAGGCAAATTCAAACTACCATTTTGAAGCCTTTCGTAAAATTTTGATGATTTTAAAATCGCTGCATCAGCCACAGAGCCGTTAGTTCCCGTATATACGTACATAAATTCGTAATTAGCGTTTACTACAGCAAACAGCACCACACTGAAAAATCCTTTATAATTATAATACAAAGATCCACTTCTTGGGGGTTTGTCAATAGCAACATGTTTTCCGTCAAAAGCACCGACACAATTATCAAAGTCCCACTTATTTTTAAAGGATCTTGCGGTATTTTCCCACTCAGCTTCGGTTTCAGGCATCACAAAATAAAACAAATCTGTTACTATACTTAATGATTTTGTTACAGGAAATTTCGACTTATCATCTGAAACCGAAAGTGTAAGAGGATCTGAGTCAGCGTCTCCACAAAAGAAAAAGAGAGTTACGAAAGCTAGCTTACTGCAAAAGCATGAGTCACTCATAAATACAGCTGGGAAACTTCTGCATAAAAAAGAAGAGGAATGGGAAATTATAGGCTTGCAACTGAAGGATCTAAATAAAAGACAGTTTTATATAGCTCAGAAAATAATACATGACACACTCTATTACGCCCAAATGGGAATGTTAGCTGAACATTCATCTGTCACTGGGCTCGAACATAATCAATCACAGCACACGTACGAGTCAACAGTTGGAAACCGTAGAACTACACAAATATATCAAGCTCCATTTCGCTATCCAGCCCGTAGATTGGATACTCAATCAGTACTATCTGGTGCATCATAATTCCCCTAAATATTATATTTATTCTGATTCTCAGTCATCTTGTGCCATACCGTCGTCACCATCCCCATCTCCAAAAGCTAGACTCAACCACCATATTCTTCCTCTAAATCACTACCTCAAGAGCCCTCGCCACAGCAAGTAATTTTTCGGCCATCTCATCCATCAGCGTCCTACCATACTCAACCTCCTCTTTCATCCCCACCAACAATGCCACAAGGAATAATTATTGAACAGCCACACCCTACTGAAAATGATCCGATTGAATCATTTTCTCCATCACAATCAACACAGGTACAATTAGAACTTTCTCGATCAAAAGCTCAAACAACATCAATGCTTGAAACAACACCAAACACATCTTATGAATTGTTAAGTTTAGATAATATAAATTTTCCGAATACAACAGTATGCAAGGGTAATGGAAACGCCATGAAGGATTATTTGATTTTTAAACCAAAAAAGTAAATTATGTAAAGCAAAGATATCTTTCATTCGATTAAATATTCTAGTTAAATAAATAACTTTCTTTGTAAAAAACGAGTATTATTTACTTACGCTTATATAGTGCTTTAGGCATTTATAAATAGCCTTACATGTTTCCGGAATGATTTTAGTAAGAAGACATGCTGAGATTAAGGAGCTAAACTTTAAATCTTCATAAGCATTTCCTGTGGCTAGAAAACGTAATGTAGCGATTAATCGTTCTCTTGGGCTGATACTTTCTCTAAGAAGTGTATCTTCCTTTTTTATATATGGTGTGATCAATGTCAGTAGTTCTTCAAACTGTGAAGATCCCAATCTTAAAAAATTTCTAAAATCAGATGGCTCCAATATGTTCACAATGTTCATATTTGACAGTTTTTGTCTCAGCAATAAATATTCTTTGACCCAATATTTTCTGCGTCTTTTTTTATTAATTATCATTAAACTCGACACCATTGCTAAAGCAATGCCAACTTTCTGGTGTTTTGATGGTGCCATGTTCGTTCAGCGCTCTTCGAAAGATGCGGTTTGGCCGACGATCACTACTGAAATGAAAGGAAGTTAAACTAACTAGCTTCACTAGCTAGTCTAGTGTAATGAGCGAGCTCTTTTTATAGTTCACTGCAGCACTAAATCTAGCGCTCTGCAAATTGGATAATGTAATGGGCGTTTAACATTAAGATACTTGGCCACCGGAGATAGCTTTCAAAGCCTTCATTTTTTGTTTAAAGTGTCACCACAATTGATTTCTACAATTATTCCAGAAGTATGTGAAGCATTAAATCAAGTTTTGCAAAATGAAATACAGGTAAATAGGTTTAAAATATTTATTAAGAACTTAATCTGAATTTATTACTTAATATTTACCTACTTATAAAAAGAAAATTGTACTTATAATCTAAAGGAAATTAGCTTCATATTTTTATATAAATTAAGCATCTTTGTAAGCTAGAGAAATAACGTCAGATAGCTGACTTTCTTGCAACAGCTCATTTGAAAGTATCTGCACGTTTGAGCCAACTTGTGCATCTTCATTTTGCAAATAAACTTGGCGTGTGTGTTGTTCTTCTGTGTGGTATATGAATTTGTTGGTTCGGAATATGCTATGCGGGTATTGTGTCTATAAACAACTCCGCTTGGCAGTGGTTCAGAATAGGATGACAGTGCAGATGATGATCGTATGTATTCAGAAGATCGATTGATTGTAGTATTTTTAAATCTGTTTGGACGCAACGCACGGCGGCGATTAATAATCATACCATCGATCTCATACATAATTTATAATCTTCCATCTTCAGAGAATGCTAGCAATTTCTTCGCTAACCCTATTGCATATATGTCACAGTCGTCTTGGGAGGTTTGCGATTCTCTTTTTTTGATGGTTTCTTGAAAAATACTTATAGCATTCTTCACATGCTTTCCAGCTTCTTTCAACTCGCCCTGAAGTAATCTACTGGTCATCTTCGTCTGTGATGTTTTTGTATCGTTTCTATTTTTATTGATCATTTCCACTTCAGTAGTACTAGAGCCTGGTTCTGCAATCTAAAAAAATAATAATATCTTATAAGTATGTATAGGTATACATGTAACCCAAATAATTCATTCTTTTTCAGATTCAATCGTCTGCAGAAGAAAGGTTGGGAATCGAAAAAAGATTTAGTTTTAAATTTCCTAGAGCTATTGGTGCAATAGATGGCGAACATATTGTTGTGACATGTCCACCTAATTCAGCCTCCGAATACTTCACTTATAAGAAAACTTTCAGTATTGTGCTTATGGCATTAGTCGATAGTAAATATAAATTTATTTTTGCTGATATAGGTGGTCAAGGTAGAATAAGTGATGGTGGAATATTGCGCAATACTGTGCTATGGGATAGGATTTGTAATAATACTCTAAATTTACCAGCACCACGTCCACTGCCAGGCTCTACTATTGATATACCATATGTGTTTTTGGGAGATGGTGCATTTGCACCACACATGAACATCATGAAACCTTATCGTGGAAACCACAACAGGAACGGTCCTGAACGAATATTCAATCAAAAACTATCTGGATCACGCGTGATTGTGGAGAATGCATTTGGAATGTTGGCTTCAAGGTTTCAAGTATTTAAAAGGCCAATCGAGCAATGCCCTGAAAAAGCTTCTGTTATTACCATGACTTGTATATTATTACATAATTATTTAATGCGCAGCAATAATTTTTCACACATATATTCTCCCCCAGGCACTGTTGATGTTTACGATAGTGACGACAATATTATTCGCCCTGGTGCATGGCGTAGAGAAATAACAATCACTAATGCTATTAGAAATTTGCCACCCATTGCGCGCCGAGCTGCTGCTAGCGCTAACCAAGTACAAGAAGAGTTGAAAAACTATTTTTTCAATATAAGTTAATTTAGAGAATTTTTGTAAAGTTTATTGAAATAAAGGCTATTTACATTAATTGATGTCGTGTTTATTGTTGGCCTCACAGTGAGCGCATCACCTAAAAATGAGTCCAGGGCATTATAGGCAAACCATATTGGTTTGTATATTTCATCTTCCCCAGCACCCGATCGGCATGAATCTTTAACCATCTTTCTATATTTGCGGTAACCTGCAAAAAGTGATTCCTTCTTCTTTTTGAGTTCTGGTACCGGTTTGTCCATTAATTCTCCAATTCTACTCCAAGCGTCATTGTTAAGACTTCGGTCTTTGTAATAACGGTGTTTTGTGTCCCACAAAATGGGCTCTGTTTGGAAATATTCGATGAACTTAAGTTCTGCTTCATTATCCCACATGTTAAATAACCTTTTCTTACTAAGAAATAAATAAAACACCCAACGTCGGAATACCGTGACTTCTCATATCACACTGAGATCTAAACGAGAATGTCTCGCCCAAAAAACCCCTTCTCTTTCTCGCCCAAAAAAACTCTGAAGCGGGCAAAAAAACCGACACCGGTCGGAGAACAGGCGAGCGCGAGAACGAGACGGCGAGAAATCGATCACATTCACGCTTTCGGGTATTCTCGGAGGTTCTCGGCGTGAGTCTGGAGGGGCTAACCAAATTGCGATTGGCGCTAGTGTAGTCACGATAAGTGCATAGTGAGCGATTAGCAAGCGACTCCTTACGTAATACGATACTTTTTTAAACAAAGCGATTGATCGCACATGTACTGCGCGATTTTTGCTAATTGCTAATTTTTACACAATAGCACTGCGGATTGCTTGCAATCTGTCGTCGTAAAAAAATTGGGATAGTCGAGTTAAGTTATTGGCATGCGGATAGAAGATCAATCGAACGACATGCACCAATCCAAGATTGTGGTTAATCTTGGATTCGAGATACATAATTAATTTCGGACGTTAATGTGTCCATATAATACTTAAAAAGATCAGAGTAGGGAAAAAATAATAACTAAACTCATAAAAATACTTTATTTATAATATGTTATGTGTAAAAACAAAACTTTTAATGAATAAATACATCAAAATAATCAAAATACACTGATGGATAGGAATCTATTGATTTGTTTAATACAGCAACAGCTTAACCATGTAGCGTTACATTATAGGATGAGATTATTTTACTTTGGTACTTGCAACACTGAATCCGTCCGTCATAGCCCCTCTACACGTTGGGCCAACGCGATGGCCCACTATGATGGGCCAACGTGTGGAGGGCGTAGTTGCGTCGGATGGCTTATGGCGCATACGATGGTCTCGGGATTGGCGACGGTGTCGGTTTTTCCGCCGCACATCAAAGGGTAGTGGCCCATTCCACAGTTGTGCGTGGTCGACTGTTGAGTGTGGACGTTCGCGCTTTGTTTATATATTAACGAAAATTAATTAAAATGACGAATACGTGGCCTCATAAAAGTTATAAAATTTTTTGAATTATATCGGGGGAGAAAGTGTGAAATGGAATCCAACACATAAAAAACACAAAGATAAAAATAAGGAAAGATTTAGTTTTATATACATATTAGAGGGTTTAAATTTAGGGTTTATACATATTTAATAGGGTTATGAATAAAATCACCATTTTTAAGTAATTATAAACCCAACACAGATGATAAGTACAATTTTAAAGACTATTTATAACGGGTGTTCAGTGGCAGATTTCAAACTTTGAACAGACTTAATTTTCGAACGCAACGTAAGAGAAGGGCGCGGAGGGGGTTATTCGACGCGCAAGCGATACGGATTTTTTAGTAGCCATGGATCCATGGAGTGGAGAGCACCGCGCTTTTGCCGTCGAGGTGTACTTTTCGAGTGGATTTTCGCTGTCTAAAGCCCGTCGTCGATTTAATAATCACTACGGTATTCGTCGAGTTCGTGATGGACCATCAATCAGCCTGATTCAGTCTTGGGTAGCAAGGTTTAGAGCAACAGGATCAACAATAAATAGACCCAGACCAGGACCAACACCAACGGTAGCCACGGACGAAAATGTCGAACGTGTTATGGCTTCTGTGATTGAAAATCCTCGTTTATCACTTCGTGCACGTTCATCGATTTTGGGTATTAGTAAATCAACTTTACAGCATATAATGCGAAAAAAACTTAAATTCCATCCTTATAAGATCCAAATCGTCCAAGATTTACTCGAATCTGACTTTGAATTAAGGAAAACTTACGCAGAGACGATGTTGATGAGATTTAAAACTGCTACTCGGATGGGTAACATATTCTTCAGTGACGAAGCCCATTTCCATATCGGTGGATATGTAAATAAACAAAATTTTCGTTATTGGGATATTTTCGACCCGAGAAAATTGCATGAAGAGCCTTTACACAAACCAAAAGTCAAAGTATGGTGTGCAATATCTGCGTCTGCCATAATAGGGCCTTATTTCTTCGAAAATGAACGTGGCCAAACTGTAACAGTAAATTCCGAGAGATATGCAGAGATGATCAGTGATTTTTTTAGACTAGAATTACAGAATAGTCCATACTGTAACCGGAATACGTGGTTTCAGCAAGATGGGGCCACAGCTTACACTGCTAATGTGGCCATGAGTGCAGTGCGAGAGTTGTTTTCTGAAAAAATCATATCCCGGAACGGCACCATACCGTGGCCTCTCAGGTCACCAGACCTAAGTCCGTGTGACTTTTTCTTATGGGGATACTTACAATCTATCGTTTACAAAACAAATCCGACCACTGTGACACAGCTGAAAGAAAACATTCGAGCAGAAATCAGCAAGATTCCCCAGTCGCTTTGTAAAAGAGTTTTCGAAAACATGCGTTCCAGACTCGAGGAGTGTGTTAGGGTCGATGGCCGCCATTTAGAAAACGTCGTTTTCAAAAAAATAAAATCCGCCTTTATGTTCTTTATATTTTAATAAAAATACTTTGCATAAAACGTGTCGTTCTTTTTTTATAATTTTTAAACTTTGAAATCTGCCACTGGACGCCCTGTACTTCGTAAAGCCACGCTGCAGCTATATTACGGTTGTACCACGAATGGGTCGGCTCGACCGGGGAAGTACCACGCTCTCACAGAATACCAGCAAATAGCAGCTTAATACTGCTGTGTTTCGTATGGCGAGTGTAGAGATCTGGAGACCCTTTTTTACTGGAAACAAGGCATTCCATCTTAGTCCTCAGGATTGACAACGCATCTGCGTTTTGATTCTTAATTGAAGAAAAATCTAGACATCTATGGGCTACAGCATCTACTTACCATCAGGTGGACTGTGTGCTCGTTTGTCACTCTTATTCTTTAAAAAAATAATTATTTTAGGTACTAGGGGTACTATTTTAGGTCTTCTTCTACGCCATTTCTTTTTAATAACTCTATTCTTGTGCACATTAAGAAAATAACGGTACGTGTTGTATAGATAAATTGCCGCAGCGGCTAATGCTTCCACGTCCATCTCGATAAACGTTTCGATCACAACTGAATGTCGCCAACGTGTAGTTGCATTGCAGCCATCGCGCTGAGCCAACGCTGGCCCATCGTGTAGAGGAGCTATCAAGTATTAAAACAGACAGTGTCAATGTCGTACTTGATTTTCATTTACCGACTTACGCACCGTTTCTCGGTATCTGTTCGCTTCTCTACGTATTTGTGTTTTATCGTATTTTACTTTTATTTAATAAGTGTCGTAGCCTCACGCGAGTGCTCCACTAATTATTAATTATTGACGGTGTAATGCATACGCTTAATAAAGAAAATGGACCTTTTACATCATCATCATCATTACATCCCTTCACAAGTCCACTGCTGAACATAGGTCTCCTTCTAGGACCTTTTACAAGCATTTATTAACTGTGTTATAGCTGTTAGACATCGCATCAGGCGGCATGTAATTTCATTATTACTCCCTGATATGACTGTTCTTTTATTGAATTGGTTAACTTTTGAGGTAAGTTCCAGTTTCGCTAAATAAAATATGTATAGACTACTATGAACTTACGTCTATACGTTTATACTATACATCTGCCGTGCGTGCTATGACAAATTCAGATGCCTTGCAACAAATTCAGGAGAAAGACAACTTGGTCACAATAATATTTGCTATGGCAGTGGTAGGTCTGTTGTATGTGCAAGAAAACACAGCATTCCGGAATTTAGTTCTCTCGTCTTAGTTGTATCATCATAGCATAACTATGTCAGTAATTATTTTCATTATTCATTAAAACTCATTCTGCAAATAAGACACAATAGTTAAACAATCATTGTGACCCATATGTGGTATCGTCAATCTCTGAACTCGAATATTTATATTGGAGCTGTCATCATCATCCCCATCATTACAGCCCTATACAAGTCCACTGCTGAACATAGGCCTCCCCCAAGGTATGCCACAAAGCACGGTCCTGAGCCACCTGCATCCATCGACTTCCTGCATGTCTTACCAGGTCGTCACTCCATCTAGTGGGGGGTCGCCCTACACTTCGTCTACCGAGGAGCTGTATGTACTGTTAACTAAAACTGACTTCTCAAAATAATCAATGTGCATTAAAGCTGTTAACATGCCAGAATACATATAGCATAACATTCATCCTTATTTTGGGTTTTCAACAACTTATCTCATATATAAAATGAATAACGTGATAAATTTTTATATTTTTTTCAGGTCATAGCGGCCAACTTTTTGTGTCATGGTTATTATGTGAGAGCGAACAGAGAAGTGGTCCGAAGAAATATTGCTGACTCTAACATATTTGAAAAAATAGAATAAAACCAAGCGATTCAAGAAATTCAGGTGCCAAATCTACATATACCAATACATCATCATACTACACATGCCAATACATCAAGAAGAAGCATGTCTGATGGCTCTCAGCGTAGTGCAGGGGGCCTAGACAAAATCTGTTTTCTGTAAGCGTTAACGCCAACGGAAAAATCAAATTGTATGGAGTTGACATTTGCTAACCAGATGTCACGTGATTGCTGCTTAATTGGTAGACAAAGTCATTATTCCTCATGCGGAAAAGGAACGTCGAAGTGAGCGTGACACGCTAACGACAAAAATGTTCATCAAAATGGTAGACAATTGCCACTTTTGACAAACGCCAATGATATTTTGACATTTCCGCAACACGCTATATTAGCGGGAGATCGGACTCAGACGCTAACGCTAGAAACGAGTAAACAGTGATATTTTGTGTCTTTAATTCAAATTAATTAGTGAAAATGCATACTTTGAGATTATTATGGGCAGCTAATAATGAAACAACATTGCAAAGACGTTAAACAAGAGTAAATCGTCGTAAAATGGTGCAAATTGTGGAGATGGAGGAATTGGAATTTGTTCATCGTTTTAGGTTAGATAAACAAAGTTTTTGGCGTCTTTGTGATGATCTTCGGCGTTTATTACCTAATGCAAATATTTATTTATGTATTTTTAGGTGATTCTGGATATCCTCAGCGGCCATGGCTGATGATTCCCATATAAAATGCAGTTCCTGGCTCAGTTGAAGATACATATACTCAGCGACATGTACATGCAAGAAACTGTATAGAGTGCTGTTTTGGATTGCTAAAGTCACGTTGGAGGTGTTTATTAAGACACAGGACCTTGCATTATCATCCTGAGGTTGCTGGGAAAATTGTACTTGCCTGTTGTGTGTTACACAATATGGCTTTAGAGGTCAATTTACCTCCTCCATCTATTATGGAAGTAGAAGAAGATGATGCTCAACCTGACAATACATCGGATAGCGTTGGTGCTGCTAGTGATCAAAGTGAGCTACTCCAAGGCAGGGCAGTAGTGAATAATCTTTCATCAAGACTTTAAAAGTATTTCTGAGTTTTTAGTGTATAATGGTATGTGTTGTGTGATTTTTTATTCTTTTTTTTTAATTTAGGGACTTACGTTATGTGATTTGTGAAAGCAATGTAACAAAACCTTATTTCTAATTTGAAGGTGTATATCAAAATTAAAGGTCAAGGTTTTCTGTCAGATATGTTCCATTAATAAAATTATACACTATCCAAATTTTATTGTACAATTAATTTTATGTTAGTAAGTAGTAGATATAGAGTTATAATTTTGTTTTTGTAATTTCAATTTTATCCTTTTGCTGTGCCCAGGGTCTATGTTTTGTACCTAGCTTTAAATGAATATGATTATAAACAAATTAAATTTAATTACATTCTGCATGGAATACATGTCATAGTTTATGGGAGAATATCATGTTACTTAAATTGTAATTTTGTCTAGTGCTTGTACTAAAGTATTTCTTAGTTGTTAGTGTAATGGTATGTGATAAGTAATTTGTGAAATTAATGTAACAAAATCTCATTTTCTAGTAAAAGATCAAAATTAAAAAGGTACTTATTTTCTTTAAAATATTTTTCATTATTAGAATTATACACTATGCACTATTAAGTCTAAATTAAAAAATGAAAACAAATAAAATATAAGTAATATTAATTACATAGCACAGTCAAATAAAATTACATTAGGGGTAGAATAAATTATGTTACTTAAATGCTAATTCGGTCTCAAATCACGAGTCTCCAATAGTGACATAAGAGCTGTTATTTTTAAATTTAATTCTTGGATGTAGTCACGTAGGTCTGCCTCTGGACTTCTTTGACCCGAACTCGCTCTCTATCAAGTTGCAGACGTTGTGCTTCTATTTTGAGTCGTTCAGTTTCAAGCTCGTGTTGACGCACATCCCTCTTCCTTCCGAAATGCAACCGATTCTCCTCTATTGCTATAAACTCGCTGGTGGCTCGATCAAATGGTGTTTGTCGCAGTCTTCGCTGTCTGAGATGGCGATGACGAGGTGTAGAAGGGCCGGCAGATACCGACGACCTTTCTGAGAACACAGATGAAAGCTATAATATACTAAAGAAAACTAACGAAATATGGTGGTGATGGTGGCTCTATCTATGGTGGCAATGAAGTTATTTAATAATGTTGGTAGTTTCAATAACTCATAATAATGAATATTCAATAATTTATAGTAATACCTTTACAAAATTAATTTTGTAATAATTACCTCCTTGTATAGTTCTACTATTTGAAGGCCCTGGCACAGGACTGACAGGATGTGCTGGTGGAGATGTTACATTTGCTGGCACTGCTATGGGTGTATCTTCTGCAGCTGATGGTAATGCCAAGAGCTCAATTTCTGCTGGTAATGACATCCTCCCTGCTGTATCAGCTGTATTGCTCACTTGGGGTTGAGATGGTTCCTAATTACAAAAATATAACCAGTTGTTGACCAGAAATATGCAAGTTTTTATGAAATCAGCAAAACAAGAAAAAACATTAATATATGAAGGGTTCACTTACTTGAAAGCCTGCTTCTTGTATGGCTTGACTTCCAGTAATTGCGGTGACCCCAATTACACGTAACACCCTTTCCTCAAGTCGACTTAATGGTTTTCCCCTACCAGAACCACCACCAGTGCCATTAATGTCCCGATTTACAAGGGAGGCTTTCTTTTTTTGTTTATGTTTTCCGGTCAGACCATACCTGTAGCACAAAATATGAAATAATACATTAAAATAAATGGTCTTCATAGGTACTATGCAACAGCAGTACATACTTTGCTTAATAATTAATATCTTATTACCCTTTTCCATTTGTCGGAAGTTTTGTTAACACCACATCCACCCACTGAGTTTAAAATGTCACCTAACTCTTGCCACAGGCGTTCACTCCTTAACCTTCCTTGAAGTCCAACTTGTGGCCTTGAAAGATCACCATGGCTAAAAATAATATTCATAAGATTAGTGTACAGTGAGAATAAGAGCCAGTAAACAAAGTTTGCTATTAACATTCTAATACCTTTACTAAGAAACAGGTATTAAGGTTTGAAATAGAGTTTATCTTTATAAGAATAACAAAATGTAAGAACAACAATCATATAAGTGCACCATTGTGAGGTTGTTTACATTATGCATTCCATATTCTCAAGTAGGTCCAATACTAATTAAAACAGGGAACAAAATTGAAATAATGCTAGTTTTTACGGAATTTATCGCGTATATTTAACTTTTTAAATACCCGACGTTTCGAGCGCTTTACAGCACCCATGGTCACGGGGGGGATAAATTTCGTAAAAACTAGTATTATTTCAATGTGTAGTGTTCGCGTAAATACAGGGAACAAAAATTGGAATAAATGAAAACATTTGGAAAAAATCTACTTTTCCATAAATTCTATTAGCAAACTAAATTGTTCGGGACTCGCACGAAGTCTAGAATCCATATCGCAGTTCTTACAATGTCTTCGCTAACTTTTTTGTAATAAAACACTTCAATAACTTTCAACACAACACTTTTAAATAATATTCTAAGCGCGCGTTTGCGTTTGACAGTGACAGATGCAGACGCAATTGACACTTGCTACACACTACTCCATAGACTAATTAAAGAGTGTTTCGGGCAGGGCCAGTCAACTTCCTAATAAAAGATTGGTACCGGGAGATGACCTTGGGGGGCTTTAAGGAAGCGAGATGGATTAATATCTATCTCCCTCGCACTTTATGTTATCTTGCCATGAAAGAAATATTATTTTAAATGACACATCATTTTAATCATTTTTTATTTAATATTTATAATACTTTATTATATAATATATTTCGTTAAACATATATTTATTACGTCTTTATTGAAGTAACAAAATGTATGAATATGAAACTGCATACTATAATAAAAAGGCAAGTTATGGCAACGGCAAATAAACAAAATTACAAATGGCGGATCCCTTGCGCTTGCTGTTGTGTTCTTGTTTATTTGTGTTGCAAATTAAGTTTATATTTTGATATTAACTTATTTCTTACATTACTAACGTTGAGTTGAACATCCCGTTCCTTCGTTTTAGTGCTTACAGTGAGAAATAGACTCAAAAACAAGTGCTGTGCATTGTGCTAAAGAGACAGAGACTCAATTTTATCTTTCGTCATGAAAGAAAACGAATGGAAATGTTACAAGTGTGGATGTTCTCCTGCTCATGATCGTAACATCACCTTGCATCGTTTTCCTAAGCCTGGGAAAAAAAAGCTTACGGTACGTATGCTAAATAGCTTTTTGGTTACTGATTAAAACAGTTTTAAAATGTTTAAATTTGAACCACTGAATTAATAAAGTAACAGAAATAAAAAATTTTATGGGCCGTATCGGCTAATAAAACCTAAGATACATATTAATCGATTAAAAAACGTGTGCAAATAAATCTGAAAATTAAAGAGAAATTATGCAGAACAGCATGAGGTGTATTACATAGAAATCATAACATAATAAAGTAGTTATAGATGTATTGGTAAACATAGAAATAACATGTGGAATAATATTTATATATGTATACAATACAATCACATTGTTTGAAAGGAACAATCTCTTGTATTGCGCTCTTCTTCCAAGCATGTTTTTAGCACCTCAGTAGTATAAGTATTATTATCTAATTGTATTTTTTCAGATGTGAATTATGGGCGAAGTACTGTTTTCCTCATGACTCTTGGTGGTCACCAGAATTTCAAAACAAGCTTCATTCTAGGCATTTAATGTTGTGCACTAAGCATTTTAAGAAATCATCATTCATTGATAATTTTGGAAAGAGGCTAGTCAAATCTGCAGTACCTGATGAGGAATGTGTTAAGGTTAGTTAATCTTTCTTTTGTTACCATCTACATTTTTTTCTTTTGTGTGGCTTTTCTCATACTAAAGTGAAAATATTTTCTAGTTAACAAACGGTGGTAACAGATTGAGTGGTGATTTATAAGGGTATGCGACATAACCTACCATTACTTCTCAACCATAAAAAAACAAAAGATATAAACTTTAAAAAATATATAGGATGGTGGTGGTAATGGGTTAAAGCAACATTCATTAATAAAAACTAGTTGTATTTCATGTTTATAAATTTATAAGGCTGTTTTAAATTTAGAGATAGGTTGATCAAGGCATGCACACCAGACCTAAGAAGGGGGAAACCATTTTCGTTGATGGATTTGCAGCAGGTAGTGCTAATTAATGACATGAAAATGTTGACTTATTATTTTTTTAATGCAGTCAATAACAATAATATAACGAAAATAATTTCTACAAATGTAATATTATTGGTGGCATCTATAATATAATCATGTTATTGGAGTTTAGACATAATATTGCAAAGCTATTGCCTTGTTTGTAGAATGAAGATGAATGAAGGTAAATAATGTTTTCTTGTTGGAAAAAAGTGTTTATATTAGATTGTCTAATCTTTTTTATATAAACCAATGTACCTTTACTTTCCATTTTGCTTAAATGTCATGTTACATATGCCGTTTACTTAATAGGTGAAGTGATGAACTAATTAGCTATAAACTAATAATCATTGACACGTGTTTTAGCGAAGTTACGAGAATGCTTATTTCCTATACTTCGCTAAAACACGCCTACCTCATAAAAATAGACTATTCTGCTTTACATAACTAAACGCGGGAGAGAGAGCTCCACTACGGCGTATCATGAAATCATATAATGATAACTTTACTGATCTTGACATATTTGCTTTATCATTTGTAATGTTCAAAAAGTGTATTTTAAAAAAAATTACTAATAAGTAAAGTATTGTCTTAAGGTTTAAATAGTTTATTAATGGTTCAAATGTTGTTTCTCGAGGCAAGTTTTGGCTAGCATAGCCACTGCAGTGGTTGTGTTGGCTGGGGTTTGCTCAGGGAACGCTCGAATTTATTCATCTTTTGTGGTATCATACAACATGTTTGCTGTGCATTATTATATTACTTTTATTGTGATATTACTTTGTGGATAACGGTGCTGGTTGTGTAATTATTTGTATTTCCCTTTTTATAAGACCTGTATTTTGTATTATATTTTATTACACAATTGTTTGTTGTCCTGAATAAAATAAAAATAAAAAATAACTACTTAACTATTAAATCGATATTTAGTTAAGAGCTGTTGAGAACTGTTTACATGCATAAAGTTAAAAATTAGTTAATTACTACGTCAGTTACGTCCATCAATGTACCAACGGTTTTTCTATGTAGCAATGTGGACAAGTATGTAATGTAAATAAAAATTATGTATTTCAAAAACCACTTTTATTTGAAAAATAGTTCCTTTTTTATATTAAAATGATTGCTAATCGTTTCAAAAGTGGTTTATGAATGTAAAGTACCATAATTTAGAAATAATTTTGTGCTTTTGTTTTCGTTTTAATTTAGCAATATATATCATTGAAACGAAAAACTACAAGCTATGTCTATCTATATGGTATTTTACATTCTTAAGCCATTTTGAAACGAAACAACCAAGACGCCAACTAAAAAAAAAATCACGTTTCAAAATTCTCGCGCAAAAAAGTTTTAGTGGGGCACGACAGAGATGGCGTGCATTATGGGTGCCATTTTCTTTGTTTGAAGTTGACATTCTTCTCGCCTAAGGGTATTAGTGTTCTGTGGTTTCGGGTAACGCTGCGGAATGAGCGTTCAGCGTTCTATGTGTAACTTGTCTACCAATTTCAACACGCTAACGTCAAGTTCTTAGCGTGAGCGGAAAACGCTTGCACGGGAAACGCTTGGATTTTGTCTAGGCCCACTGGTCATTCAGTGCCTACCTGTCAATGTCGGCGACTATAGGAGATACAGGTGAGCCCATTGCCACAACGTTTACTTGCTTGTAGAACTCCTCCTTCCACAATAGATAGCTAGATGTGAGGCAGTGTTCAAGTAATATTGAATATTCTTCGGGCATTTTGTATATTTATAGCATTGCAGCTGAAGTTTGCTAGTAAAACTTCAAAATGAAGATATAACACGACTTGTTTAATAATATAATTGGATAACGAGACTTGTTTAACATTAATTGATGCATATGAATCAAAGAGGGTGTTATGGGATAGTACGAGTACATACGAAGAATACTATAATCGCATAAAAAAAGAAGATGCTTGGCGTTATATCAGTGATACATTAAACAATTAGTGTAGACGATGTAAAAAAAATTGTAAGCTTGACAGGTTCATTTAGGCGAGAACGATCAAAGCAAAAACGAAGTTCTACAACGGGAAGTGGTAAGTGTTATTAGTGTTTATTTGATCCGTCAACATGTTATATTTATTTACTTACCATATACATGTATATGAATTACATAAATCAATATTTTTGTTTCAGGTCAAGATCAGGCGTATGTGTCAAAATGGTTTGCATTTGATCGGATGAAATTTTTAATGGATAAAAGTGAACCAAATGAAACTCGAGATAGTTCCAATGTAAGTTTATTTATTTTCATAATCTATACTGATATTATAAAGAGGTAATGTTTGCGAGTTTGGAACTCACAAACACAACAAACTCGCAAACATTACCGGAGATTACTCTGGTGCTTCTGGTCCAATATGGATAATTCTTTCACTAATATAAAGGTACACTATTCCTGGTGGTTATATATTTTGTGAAAATTAACTGAACTGTAATGAACTGCGTCAACCAACTCAGAAAATATTATGGCACTTTTGAGCTCAGCTAATTTTCAGAAAATTCTTATAAGTAAACTAATTTAATTAATATTGTATTGCCAAGGTAATTCTGCATTTGTTATAAAATGCCGTGCGATATGCAAACGAATTTCTTTGATTTGGTTGGTAGATCTCCTGGGTACGTGTGGCAAAGGAGAGAAGGATTGTAATGGCTCATCGTTCCTAAATGTACCTGCAATTATCTCGCCATTTTCTTCCCTATCAAAAATCCCAATGGGACAGTAGTATTCTCTAGTATAGTTTCTTTGACGCATGAAGTTATGCAAATGCGTAATAGCCATTACAACTGAAACCGCATTATTAGTGTCCATTGCAATCGGTTTACGTAACACTCTGAAAACGGATGCGGTAATACCAAGTACATTCTCGACGACTCGTCTAGCTCTTGAATGTCGATAGTTGTAAATTCGTTCGAGAGAACCTCGTATATAATTATTACCAGCAAATGGTTTCATTGTATATTCATTAAGAGCAAAAGCGTTGTCTCCTACAAAACAATAAGGTACTTTAACATTATAAGGAATTTGCAATATCTTTGGTGGCGAAATATTCAAAGTTTTATTTTCAAGTTCTCTATATAAATTGGTATGTTTAAATACACCTCCATCCGAAATTCTACCCTTACATCCAACATCAACATATATAAAATTATAGTCAGCATCTACTACCGCAAATAATACAATACTAAAGAAATCTTTATAGTTTCGATATTCAGCTCCACTATGGGGCGGTGCTATGATTTGAATATGTTTGCCATCCATTGCCCCAACACAATGAGGGTAGTTCCACTTTTTTTCGAAGTTTCGTGATATACGAGTATCTAGCCATTCACTTTCTGTTCGAGGAACCTGAAGCAGAATAACAAACCATTAACAAATTACAATGAATCAATTCCTTATAAAATTTTTTTTACAGGAAAACCGAACCCAAGACGTTTTGGATGTTGAAAATGCTGATATTCAAGGCATTAATGACAATGAAGCAAGCAGTGAAATGCGCCCTCCAAAACAAAAAAGTGCTAAGAAAAAGAAAATAGAATATGACAATCCAATGGTAAAGAGTGCATATGAACTTTTGAAGAAAACAGCGGACAATGATGACCCGTACACAAGTTATGGATTGCATATTGCCAACGAACTAAAAAAATACGATAAAGGTACCTTGGCCTGTGTCAAACATGCCATTAATAATATAATATTCCAGGCAGATATGGGAAATTATTCACCAAATATCTATTGTCCACGTGAATATTACAATCAGCCACAACAATATGGGTATACTACAAGTACATCAACTGTTTCATCGCCACGCCACCGTCACCAACTTTGGAATCGACTAATCGACCATCACCAGCAGAAACAGCAAATGCTGATAACCAATTCACTGAATCGGAATCCCTGTTAATCTCTCAGAATTTTTTTAACATTTAAAAACTACATAATTATTCTATGATAATTTTTAAATTTAATAAAAAAATATTTCAACCGCACTTTGCATTTATTTGATAAACTTACCTACCTACTTAGTTAAAAAAAAACATAATAACTATAAATAATCGAATTAGCTTACCTTAATGTAATCTTTGAGTGCCTGTATAATATGGCCATAACAAAACGGCTTATACTTTGTTTAGATACTTTGAACATGTATTGCAAGCTAGTATAGGAATCTCCTGTAGCTAAAAGTTATCAGTGATATGGCCTCACGCATATGTGTATCTTTTTTTAATTTGCGGTCCGATCAATGACAGTAAATATTCAAAATCAATAGTTGACATTCTTGTAAAGTTGTTAAATGGTTCGTTATCTCCTTCGAAAGTCAATTCACGAATTATATTAGCCGAGTTGTTTCTTCGATGACGATACATTTCTCTCATCCACCACCTTGGTGGTTTTCTCTTCTTCTTTATGGCACAGTGAATGATTATAAAGGCAGCAGCAGCTACACGGACACGTGTAGACGTGACGGAGCCGAGTATATACTGAGCAGACTGAGCACAGCTTTTTCAATGGAGGCTCGTTCGACCAAAACATTCATTTTGTTCCTCTGAGCATGCTCAGGCGAATGAGCGGCTCATTCGCCCGAGCATGCTCAAGTGGATACAAGGCTTAAGAGGTAATCTCTGCTACCAAAAATATTCTGTTTACAATACAATATCATCAATATAACTCCAAGATGACTACAAGTGTAAAAATATAATTAAAAGAAAGAGGTTATTTACAATTAATGAAGTTTAGAAACAAAAAGTTGCCCATGCAGAAATTCTTAACAATACTAAAAAAAAATTGAAGAATAAGAGAAAATTTAGATGTCTTTCTAAAATATTTATAGCATTGCAGCTGCGGTTTGCAGGTAAAGCTTCAAAATGAAGAAAATATTATACAAATGAGAAGTTAATGAGCATTGCGCTGTATAAAAGAGGCCCTAGGCCTCTTTTATACAGATATTGTCTGTTACAAAAAATATTCTCTTTAATAGTCAAAAGAACTCTGAATATAGTTTTGCAAAATATAAAATTTGGAGAAGGTATTAATAAAAACTTTTTTGCTATTTTAAAAGAAAAATCAAAATATTGAGTAATGAAAAATTATTGTGCAACATTGTTTTTGATGAAGTCCAGTTAGGCCTCTTTTCCATTACACGGTTTCTCGCCGTGAAAATCTACGGTTAATTCGCCGCGTGTAGGCACGGTCGTCAGTGTGGTATGGATCACTATATGAGCTTGTCGACATGCACGGTGGCGCCAAGGCACGGCGCCGCGGCCGCGTGCGCCGTGACTGCCCCTCGGCGCGCCGCGTCTACGCACGGCGTGATTTTCACCAGTGTTGTATGGCAGTCTATCGGGGTGTGTCGACGGTGCCGGACGTACGCACGGATTCGTGACCGCTTATATACGCTGTTTCGCGATTTTATTATAAAATGAACATAAATCAAGAATTATTAATTACGTTGATTCAAGAAAGGCCTGTAATATGGGATAAGACCATCGACGATTATAAAAATAAGCGGCTTAAATATGATTCCTGGAAAGAAATATTTATTCATTTCCAGCCCACATTTGAAGATTTAAGTGGTGATGAGAAAAACAAGTTTGGTAAGTTACAGATATTTAATTATTAACTTTTTACTTATGCATAGTTGTTTTGATAGGAGAGGCGACCTTCGTTAGATACAAAATATTGTGCAAATCTGTTGCGAACTTCATTAGCCGCCAAACTTCCGCGAACTGCATTCGTGATAGGTAACTGGATTAGTTCCGATTCTGAATCAAGGGTGGACTCATTTTCACTCGCATTGTGAAACTGAAAGTTTTCCTGCTTATGTATAAAATTTTGCAAAACACAACATGTTTTCACAATATCAACTGCCAAATCGATGGACACATTCATTGGCCGGTGAAAAATTCGCCATTTATTGGATAAAATGCCAAACGCACATTCAACAAATCTTCGCGCTCTTGTGAGTCTGTAGTTAAATGTACGTTTTAATTGATCAAGCTGATGACCACCAAATGGACGAAGCAAGTGATAATGCAAAGCAAAGGCTTCGTCCGCAACGAACACATATGGCAAATCGTAGTCAATTCCAGGCAAACGTGTTGCATCGGGTAGATTTAATCCGTTGTTTGTTAAATTTTTCCAAAATGGGGTCTCTTTAAACACACTGGAATCACACTCCTTTCCGTAGGCGCCAACGTCAACAAATATAAAGTTGTAATCGCTATCTACTACTGCCATCAAAACTATAGAAAAAAAATGTTTGTAATTTAAAAACATCGAGCCACTATCAATTGGCTTAATAAGTCTGATGTGTTTTCCATCGACCGCTCCTAAGCACAGCGGGAAGTTGGAAGATTCTTGAAATTTGCTTGCAATGTGTAGCCAGTCTTCTTTAGATGGCATTTTCATATATTCTTTATACAGTTCTAACCAAATGTAGTGGCATACTTCACGTACGATGCAACTTATGGTTTTTATTCCAATTCTATAGCTGTAGTATAGGTCAGTAAAGGTATCTCCTGTTGCTAGATACCTGAAATATAAAACAAAACGGTTCAGGTTCAAATACTAAAACCCCATTTTAGGTCGGGGTCGATTCAGTTTAGGTCGGGGGGTTTTCATAAATTTTGAATTTAATAATTATTATTTATTTATTTTCAGGGCAAATGGTGATGAAGAAGTGGACCAATATGAAAGATAGCTGGATAAAATATGACAAAAAAATTAATGAATGTAAGTCTGGTTCTTCAGCAAAAAAAATAAGAAAATATATGTTCTATGATGAAATGATGTTCCTAAAAAAAAAATGTTGAGCATCGCAAGACCGATTCTAACATGACTGAACATGTTCATGATTCTAGCCTCAGTAATGAAAATTTTGATAGTGCAGTCCCGAATCAATCAAGCTCGGGATACACTGAACGGAGTGAGACGCAAAGGGCTAAAAAAAAAAGAAAAAATGAACTAAGTGAAGTTGACATTAGGTTTATGAAGTTTATGGATTCAGCAGAACGAGATGAGAAAAAGAAAAGCCGTAGTATGAACTTTTTTATGGGAATCGCTGATACAGTTGACAAGTTCAGTGATGAAAATATGATGGACTTTCAGTTTCAAGTAATTTCAATAATTAAAAATATTCAACAAAGACAGTGTACTCAGTATATACCTACATCAAGAAACCAATGGGATCAAGGCCATCAAGGATATTTAAGTGGTACAGCATCCTCAAATGCGCAATCGTCAACATATGGATATTCTACAGCTGCTAGATCGAGCTATGGAATAAGTCGTCCACAGACGTCTTCTCATGATTTTGGACACGGTTCTGGTTTAGAGCCAATCCACTACCGACCCGAATCACAATTATCTGTACATAGTGTAAATGCGGAAAGTATCTCGGCAGATTCTCAAGTTTCTATTGAAGACGAATTCGATTTTAGTACCGCACTTGAGTAGCATTTTCAGCGTAGTGTATTTTTTGATTTACTTGTTCTTAAATTAATAATTATTAAAATTCAATTACATGTAATAATTTTGTTTGTGTGCAATAAACAATTTTAAACTAAAATATGTCATTTAATTTTGTACCTACTTACCTCAGAGTTACAGCCAATCTTTCTGCGGGCGATATACTCTCTCGCATAAAAGTATCTTGATGTTTTAGTTCCTGGGATAATTTTTGGAGCAAGTTGTCGAATGTAGTTTTCTGCATTCTAAAATAATTGTAAAACTTGTCTTCATCTTCTCTCAATTGATTCTTGACAAGTGTATGAAACGCGCCATATTCCTCCCTTTTTTCTAAAATCGGATGTATCCAAAACCTTACTTCCCTTTTTTTTTCTATTTTCTTTTTCCTATATATGTAATAAGCAACTATAATCTTTTTTTTCGTAAGAAAATTCATGACGCAGCACGTCCTACACAGCCCGAGTAAAAAGCGCTACTAGCCAGTACTTACCAATGTCTCGCGCGGTGATTTTGCCGTATCATGTACAAGCTAGCACGTTTTTTCAACCGTACGGCTTACACACCGTACGTTTGAACAACCGTGTAATGGAAAAGATGCCTTAAGAAGGTGAAAGTTAAGAACTGCAATCAAGTTTTCAGTGAACGTGTAGCTGCCATAATGCAATATACGGCAACTTTTTGTAAGCTAACTACCCCTTTTTTTTTCAGTGTAAATAAATATTCATATTTCAACTATGGTAGTATTAAACTCCATTTACTGGATGATTATTATAAAGTAAATCAATTTCAAAATTCAATTATAAAGTAAATCAAATTTAAAAAAGTTGGATACCAAGTGTCAAGCAGGCCTAATTTTATTTGTAGGTACTTATAACTTAGTTTATCATTTTTATTTTTAACTCTGATAGATTTTCGGTGGACAATCTTTGGTATTGTGAGTTTCTTGTACTTTAGTACTCATTATGCACTACAAATGAAATGCAATATTTGGTTTGTGATTGTGTATATTGTGTAATTAGGTCGACTAACGGTGCTGGTTGTAATCAAATACTTTATAAACGGGAACATCTCACCTGTAAATATTGCAAATATACATACGATTTAGATTGCGCAAATGTAACCCAACAACGCTTCTATAACACAATGTCGGCAGAAAAAAAAGGCCGCATGGAAATCTCAAGCTTGTTATTGTAAGCAACCCAAGAAAAATAACACGAACACGCCAATACGCCCTCATAAAAATCTCCTGTAGTTGTTATCTCCCAATTAATAACGAAAATAATAGATCATTAATAAATGAGCTGCAAAGTACAATACACTCAGAAAGAGGACAACTCACTGGCCCATACCGCAAAGGAGAAAGCCGATTTGCTAGGCTCTTTCTTTGCCTCCAACTCGACTCTTGATGACGGGGGGAGTTCGCCGCCGACCATCCCGCGGTGTGAGTGCTCCGTACCGGAAGTGCAGTTCACACAGTGCTCGGTTCGCAAAGCACTCCTCCTTTCGACAGGAGGAACAGGGCCGTCGGTTAAAGGAGCAAATGCTGCTCATGAAGGACCTTCACGATACCTTTGGGAAAGAGATAAGGAAGGTGAAGGATAGTGTGGCCGTGTAAGGAAAGGGGGAGATCTCCCGCCGGGCAAGGTGTTCTGCCCGGGGAGCGGCCAACGCTCCGTGTGATAATTCGGAGATGTTCTATATATACTGTTTATGATTCGGAATGTTGATAGCGCGATTTAGGCTTCGGTGTGTTTTCGCTTGTGGCGGCGACGACAGCGCCGCTACATCACCCCCCTGCTCAGACCGGAGGTCGATAGTGCAGCCTCGTTGCCGACGAATGTGCAAGTGCCAGGAGATTGCCTTGTAGTCTGCGGTGAGTCGAGAATCAATTAACAAAGCCTTATCGTTGAAATGCACCGAAATGCAATCACACAGAAATAATAAATCAGTATTCATTCACCAAGATTTGAACACGCAACCAAACAACCTTCGGAAACTTCAAGCTTCATCATCGTCATAGAATACCACACCCATCACGTCGGGGTCACCACTGTGGCCGTGTAAGGAAAGGGGGAGATCTCCCGCCGGGCAAGGTGTTCTGCCCGGGGAGCGGCCGACACTCCGTGTGATAGTTCGGAAATGATATATACTCTTTATGCTTCGGTGTGTTTTCGCTTGTGGCGGCGACGACAGCGCCGCTACAATAGGGTTGCTCAACATGACAACCGCCTGTCGGAAATTGAAACCCGAATCGAGCAAGTGAACAATCGGGTTGACAACATGATGGCTGACATGAAGAAAACGCTGGACGGTCTCAAACTTGGGGATGGAATAACAGTTCCCGTGGTAACTACAACACCTTCGCTACGTGGATTCAAAGTACCGCCGTTCGACGGGACTTCTTCCTGGTCGGCTTACAAAATCCGAAAGTTCGAAGCTGTTATGAAGGTGAACGGCTGGAATAAAAGTCGGGCCATGAATGCTCTCACACTAGGTCTGCGCAACCAGGCCTTAACTGTTCTGGAAGCTCTCGGTGGAGAAGTGACTTTTGAGCAGCTCCTTGAGGCATTGGAGGCGAGATGTGGCGACGTTCACCTGGAACATGTCTTTCGTACCGTTATACTCTGTACTTGTTAGCCTTAGTGCTGCACTGCTTCTTAATATTGTTGACTTGGCCTTAATGTTCAGTGAGTATTGCAGTAGAGCAGTTCGGTCACTTCAGTCTGTTTCCATCTTCAAACCTGTTCTGTTGTCTACGGACTTAAATTAAATTCCATCCAGTTCATAGTGCATAATCCACTTATCCTATAGTTAAATTCAGTATTTTAAAAAAAAATCTTTTTTTTTAAAACATCCACCAACCATCAACCACCGTCTCCGTATGACATTTTGGTGGCAGCGGTGGGATACGGAAATCCCCAGTGTCAATTGAAGTAGAACCGCTCAGCAGACTCACTCCGTATCCTAATATCTTACAAAACTAAATATCCTGTGTCGTCCTGGCGCATCCTAGTGAACCCAAATATAGTGCAATTGCTATACTCATCGCTACGGCCTGGACGTCCATTCCATTACGGAGACCCAATTTATTCCAGGAAAGTAATCCATATAACCACCAAGGAGGACCTGCGCTTGCATCCTGAAACGCAATCATCTGTTTCCAGAAGAGTAAAATCACCTGGAAGCATTAACCTGAAAGGCATTCATTGTAATGAAATAAATATCGTCGGAGATTCATCGAGTTCCGAAGTTCAAGAAAGAGACTTCCACATGTTGTTGTTAATAAGGAATTTAAACAGTTGTTACATAGAACATCTGAGGAAAAGAAAAATAAATTTATTAAAACATTATTTGATTGTAATCCGTGCCCAGCAAAAATTCTTAGTATACTATATGAAACAAGTGCTTCAGGATTGTTGGATAAATTCGTTTAAAAGTTTGAAGAATTTAAGTCAATCGGGGGACTAATAACACATAATCATAGATCCATTTCATCACTGAGAATACTTAAGGAATCAAGAAAAGCTGACCTATTCAAGATTAAATGGATAATAGATCAAATTAAGGACAAACAAAAGCTCAAGATCCATCCCTTGCTCAGATCCCTACCAGTCAAAAATAAGAATCATGATTATCTGTGTCCTACTGAGTTTATGAGTAATCTTAGAGATTCCTAATCGCAGAACGCCTAGTGCTAAGGACGTTACTTTCCCCAAGATATCTTTAGTGCCGTTTTTTATCACATAGAAAACAGCAACCTCAATTTTGTCATTGACTTGGACATGAGTTTTAAACGATCCCATAATATTTAGTGGCTTAACGCTACCATAGGCGTAAAATGTTTTATCCGGTGATCTATCCATGTCAAAAACATTTATTTTATTCCTCTTTAGTTTTCTCCACGTGACATCGGTTAACAAATTACATTTACATCCGGAATCGATCAATAATGACGTCTTGACACCATCTACCAAACAATTAATATTAGTGTCGTCATCTATATGAAAAACATAATCGATTTCTTCCTTTTCGTCCCGTTTCGTATTATCGAAGAAGTATCTGAGCCGTCAAAATGGGTTTCACCTATGGTGCCTGTTTTAAAAGACAATAGGGATATAAGAATCTGTATCGATATGCGAAGAGCTAACGCAGCAATAATTCGCGAAAATCATCCACTACCAACAATGGACCAGCTGCTACCACATTTTAAAGATGCGAAATTATTTTCTCGCCTCGACATTAAAAACGCTTTCCACCAAATCGAAATCCATCCGGATACCCGATACATCACTACATTTATAACTAGCAGAGGGTTATTTAGATACAAGAGACTTATGTTTGGTATTTCCTGTGCCCCAGAAATGTTTCAGATAATCGTGGAACACACTCTTATACAGTGTGAAGGTACAGTAAATTTTATTGACGATATTATCGTTTTTGGATCAAATGAGGCAGAGCATGATCAACGATTACAGCGGACACTAAATATTTTGAAAGAGAACAATGTTCTGTTAAACAATGATAAGTGTATTTACAAAGTAAACAAAATAGTGTTCTTGGGGCATGAGTTATCTAGTGAAGGTGTAAGACCTTTAAAAAAGTACATTGACAGTATCCGAATGTTTAGAGCACCATCAACTATCGAGGAAGTACAAAGTTTCTTGGGGTTAGTAATTTTTGTTGGGAAATGGATACCAAATTTGGCGACACTCACCGAGCCGTTCCGAAATTTTGGACTACAGACCAGGAAAACGCATTTTACAAAATAAAGAAAGCTCTATGCAATATGCAGTCATTAGGATATTATGATCCGGCAGACAAGACCCAAGTTATTGCCGATGCTAGTCCTGTTGGGTTAGGGGCGGTGCTTATCCAAATTAATTTAAAGGGCCTAGAGTAATAGCATTTGGAAATAAGAGTTTAACAGACTGTGAAAAGCGTTACTGCCAAACTGAAAAGGAAGCGCTAGCCTTAGTATGGGCTGTAGAACATTTTCGAATATATCTTTATGGTAAAAGTGAGTTTGAACTGATAAGCGATCATAAGCCATTAGAAATTATTTTCGGAAGAAGGTCTAAGCCTTGCGCCCGAATCGAAAGATGGGTTCTTCGATTGCAAGCCTATATTTACAAAATAGTGTACCACCGACCAGGTAAATCGAATATAGCTGACCCCCTTTCGAGACTTTGTACTTCTAAACATAATTCGGTGAATACAATACGCAATTTTGATGAGCAACACATCAGGCATATAATTGAATACTCAAGACCCGTAGCCGTATCATTCAACGATATTGAACAATTTTCCAAGCAGGATTCCGAAATCGCTAAAGTAAGGCAAGGCTTATACTCTTATACCTGTGATCCTACCATCGCAAAATATAAAGTATTTGAATCGGAGCTTTATTTCCAAAATAATATTTTACTTCGAGGTACAAAAATTGTTATTCGTGAAAAATTAAGACAGCGAGTATTGCAAGCCGCTCACGAGGGTCACCCTGGTATTGTTTGTATGAAACAAAG